AAAAATCGAACGAAATCCCTAAATTCGAACAAGAGAAGTGATCCTGTTATTTCTTCCCCGCTGCGAAATCCCTTCTTTGTCTTCTCTCGACCTGAAAAGCATCCGCATAAATGGGAGCTTCGTCCTTGTTCCTTTTCGGGCAACTGACCGCAATACGAGTGGAGTGTTTCGGAAGTACAATATTTCCTGCAACACTTCCCAAATCCCTTTTTTTTTTTTTTAAGCCGGAAAGAGAAATACTGTGCTAAAACCGGTTGATGCACGAGCTAGGAAACCTGCGAAAACCATCTTATACGGCAAAATTTGGGGCACGGAAAGTTGAGGAAATGCAAAATAGGATAATGGCTTCCTGAATTCGAATAATCATCGCAAATTTCCGGCACCTGCGAGAAAAAAGTGATCATTTTTGGTCCCTTTTTTTTGGACAAGAATCTAAATTGGGGAAAATACTGATGCCCCAACGTACAGATGATTCAAATCTGGGGTATTTTCAACTAAATGAAAAATCTGGCCCAATATCTAGACCACGAGTTAACAAATATAAACTTTGAAAATACTGTATGCAGAAAGTTGAAAATATATTATTTTTCATATTTCTAACATCTTGATCATATTGTGCTACTGCCACGGACAAATGTCAAAATAAAGTCCTTTTTAAAGTTACACGTACTATAACGTACTTTAAAAAAGCCGCCAATTAGACAATTTTTGTGTTTTTTTTATCAAATGCTGTGTACATTAGCGCAATATGAGTTTTGACGGCTGATGATTTTGTGATTTGGACTCCTCCTCATGCCGATGGGGAAGATTCTTCAAGGGTTTTTTTCTGCACAGCCATTTCCTGAGTTTTAAATAAGAAAACATTTTATCGACTTGAAGGACTTTTTCTTTTTTTCAAACATGAAAATTGATTCAGCATGTCCTTGTTGAAGTAGATGGGAAAATGTGATCCAACATGCAGATTGTGATGTTCTGACACGTGGACACACTCTTGCATCTTTGGGCCATGTTGTCTTTTGTGCTGAAAAATGGGAGGAAATTGATAGCTTTCTTTGGACAAGGAATTTCTCCAGTGTTTTATTATTGGATTGACAACATCTGAACCAAGATAGATTTTGCCGTGAGGGTGCAAAATATTTTTCCGCCTTTTTGCCAAGGAAATTGTCGGGTACCAGAATGTTTTGTCTTTTCACGTTGTTCCGTTTCTTTTTGAGACACGAATGGCAAAACGATGCTATTTTAAGATCTTGACTTCTCGAAATTCTCCCATTTTTTGGTTCTAGTCGGTCGTGAATCATTCTGTAACTATCATGACTCTCATGAATGTCCAAATAAAGAAACCCTTTCCTTAAAAAAAAAGTATTCTCCGCTCGGCTCGTAAAACATGATATACGTGTATGCATAAGTATGATGCATTTTCCTTGAAGTTCTCGAAAGTGGGGCGCATTCAACCAACATTTGTTTTTACTATAGCAGATATAAAATATATTTATTTTATTTTTTATACGTGGGATCGACATTTGCTGATGAAAACGACTCCCATTCGCTTAGTCGTGCCCTCATTTATTTGACTCTAGGCTGCGGAAATAAATGTGGAAACATGTCAGTAGTTGCATTACAGAAAGCATTTTTAAAGCAAGATCGACATTTGCTGATGAAAACGACTCCCATTCGCTTAGTCGTGCCCTCATTTATTTGACTCTAGGCTGCGGAAATAAATGTGGAAACATGTCAGTAGTTGCATTACAGAAAGCATTTTTAAAGCAGAAAATGTTCCATTCATACAGAAAACGATAAAACGAACCATAAATCAAATGAATAAAATACTGCGAAGTACTTCTTTTTTTTTCGGCCGGTGGTACATTTTTTCGCGGACTCGTTGGAATGTTCGTACAAACTCGGTTTTCAGATTTTTTTCCGTTTGTCGAAGTTTCCCACGCTGGGATTCCCGGGTCTTTACTCCTTCAACACTTGGAACCCGTGGAAAATACGCGATTGTCTTGCTTCATTGAAATAATCTGCGGATGTGAAAACCGCGTGCATTGAAATTGTGATACGAATTTAGCGATGGGTGAAATCGTCGCGAGGATATTTTCCATTGAGAAAATATGAAAAAGTCTCCAACGGAGAATCTCTGGTTCGTTTTTTTTTAATCGTTGGAATGACCATGTCGCTGTGGAATTGTGGGTTTTAAGTCAATTTTAATTATTTATATTGTAATAAGATGAAGGCGCTTTCCTTGGATTTAAAGTAATCAAATGATCAGTGCGCGTGATTATAAAGTTATTGCCATGTGACATGTTTTTCATTATGATGAATGCTTTTTCCAGTGCAGGCAGATGTCACTGGCAAGTATGAATAATGCTTCTAAATTTTAAACGTCATTATTCGAATCGGACAGTGTTATTAAAGATTTGATTTCCTTCGCCGCACTCGTATTTTCAGAATCTTTCTGTGAACTACCTTCAAAAATGTTCCAAGTTTTAAAACATTGTTCGAAATGAATAGTGTGTTAGTGACCGAGAAAATGACTGTGACATGAAGGCTTCATCAGCATGTAAGGGGTTTAATTGTTAAGCATGTATGGATGTACTTTCTTTAGAATTATAAAGGCACACTTCACGTTTTTTCTTCGAGAAGGAATTTTGAGCTTCTTTCCATCTCATTTTAATATATGTTTAAAACTCGACAACTCACCCTAGGAACATTTGGGAGATGTTCGCTAGTTTGTGCTTGGTCCTTGGACTTAAATCTGTCGCTGACAGCACCGGGAAAAACTTTTGAGAAATCGCTTCGATGTCATCATAAACTACGTTATCTAAATTGATGAAAGAAGCTTTTAAAGAGCGAACTAGTTGTATCCGTTTTTTCCTTGCAATACTGGACAAACCTTCAGTGATATTTCTTGAAACTTTGTCACTAATCTTCATGCACGTCTTTCTGACTGTACTTCGAACAATTACTGGGTGACTTCAGCCAGAGGCAAACAAAATTTGTTTGGCATGAGAATTTATTCGCAGAAAATTTATTTGTGAGAATAACACGTTAGATTTTTCCATCAAGAATAAAGAACTGAGGGGTCTGAAACAAATTCAATTTTGGTGAAGCCCCATTTTTCGTCCTACGATGCCCTGCTTTTCCCTGAATTTTGAACGACCTTCGCTACTTCGTGACTGGTTTCCTTCAGAATCGCATTTTTTCCCCGATTCGCGCCGATTTCGTCACGCCAAAGCACAGTGGTATTTTCCTTTTTTTTTTTGCCCGGCGAGTTTAGAACGCGACGAGTTTTCTCTGCCGGCCCCCCACGCGGCGGTCGGGCAAGCTGGCCGCTCTGTTCACACCGCAGTGTCGATAACGACACCGACGCCGACATCACTCATCGTCGTTCGCGACAGTGCGTCAGANGACATCACTCATCGTCGTTCGCGACAGTGCGTCAGAACATGTTCGACCCGCAGGACGACTTTGTCCACGGCACCCTGTACCAAGTGACGGAATGCATCGACGAGAATTATTTGCTCATCCCACGCCCAAGGTGATGATAGCGGGCGTTCTATTTCCATTTTGCTACGTTTTATTATTATTACTTTTTTTAAATCCCATGCCGTCGATTTTGCGTATACTGTATGGGCAGAATTCTACGTCCTTGAGCTGCTGATTTCGAAACGAGGAAGTTTAAACGATATTTATGCAGATATGTGGTGATGACAGCGATGCGGCAACGCGGTGTTGCGACTTTTCGGCGGAATTACCGGGGTGCTGTATACGTATGACCGCGAAATTTTCCTGCATAAGTTTGTCGGTTTTGAAAATTGGGACAGCCAAAGATCATGACGAAACAGCATGCAATATAATTTAAAACAAAATGAGCGTCGTGAAGAGAGGGAACATTTTTGCATTTAATGACAGTTTGAAGAATTAGTATTCAGACGTGGAGACATCGCACTTATTGGTTTGCATGATGATTTTTCCCCATGAAAATGTATTTATGCGTGCTCATCTCCTCGATCTATATTCAAAAGGACGTGTATATACGAAACCCAAACGAGGAAACTTAACCCTTTTGCACGGGTTTAGAACCATCAGATTTGACAGAAAAAGTTACAATGGTGCGAAGGAATATACAGTACATATACAGTAATTGCAAAAAATTGGGATTTTACGGCAAAATAATGACAGCATGCTCTATGAATGTGGCCAGCAGTTTCGCTTTATCAAGTGATGTCAGTCAGTAGTGCAGTACTGTAATTCAAGCCCTTTGAATGCCGAAGGGTTTTACTTGTGACAGATCCTTAATAGATGCAGTATACTACCGCATTGATGACACTCGAATTATTATAGTGTCATTTTATTGAATTGAAGTGTCCCGGAAAAAATCATTAGACGCGTACAGATGGTCGAAGTATCCCATATTGTCAAACACCAATAAAAAAAAAATATATCCTCTCATCTTTGGTACAATTTTGCACAGTATTTGTTTTTGGAGGGCATCCATACCTGATGAATGGTTGGTTTTATCACGTTCGTGTTGTAACCAAATGTATGAAAAAAATTCAGCATCATCGCATGCAATTCATCAAGAGTTCAGGCATTTCGTTTACATTGTTATTATTTTATCTGGCTTGAAAAGTGTTGATGCGGTTTAATTTTAAGGCAGCAATTTTCAAATCTTTTATTTCGGCCAAAAGTTCGAAATCGGCTGCGTGTAAAAAGTGAAAAATAGCCACAAATTTTGAAAATTGCTGCTCATGTGGAGCTGGGATTTCATTGCAAATATTATTTTGTCAGCAGCACTGCAATTAAATTTCATCGAAGTATTTTAACGGCATCTTGATGAATGCAGGAATTCTGAATGATGCCCCAAGGAATTCTTAACGTTTCAATCGTCGTGCTTTTCAATGACGATTCGCTCTTGAATGGGAAACTTCGAGAGAGTTCCTCTCATTTATATTCCATCGAATTGACTCTTGTTGACATTCCCGATTTAGCGTTCAACCGGGACAAATCTACTTTTGTAAATTTTTGCATCGAAATTTATTTTTCTCCTCGTTTCGTCCAGGGTCGAGAGAACGATAAAAATTCGAATTCTTCTATAGTTAGGCAAACAAAACAAGTCTCCTGACGGGTGGGAGTCAAGTTCCCGTGTGACACTTCCTTTTGCACTGGGGCTGATGAAGCACAGGCATAAGCTCTTTCTAATATTCGGGCTTTCGAGCTGATGAAGTTGACTTACTGGAAATCTGCTCTTCTGACACAATTCCTGTGTACGTTTTTTTTTGTTCTCCTTTCCCTAGAATTGCTTTGTTATGCGTCCATATCATGTTGCGTTTCTTCAGTGATTTCTCAAGTTGTTTTTGGTTTACTCTCAAATTAAAGCATTGTTCTGAACGTGAAAGTTCAGTTTTACATTACATCTGTGTCGACCGTGATGATTCAAGTGCAATTCATGGGAAAATTCAGTGATTGCTGCTGAGCTGAGGTCGGTATTCTTGGGCATGGCAGAATACGTTGAGTTAGATTTTAAAAAATCGGAGCTCATTTTATTTTTCTACGTTTGATGTGACAATTGATACGATTCGAGAGTACATGAAATAAGTTCCCTGGGAAATTTAAATGAAATAACAGTAAAGTTTTAGCTCTCATCTCCAGAGTTTAACATACTTGCATGTGTTGCTGATTCTTTCGATAATCGCAGCATAACACAATAATGCGGGACTTTCGGGGGTGCTATTTTTGTTTGAATGGCATCGTTTTAAATCATGAAAGCTGAAGGAAGAGAATCAAAGTACACAGGAAAAGATGAAGTTGCGATTTTGTCTGAAATCTCAGCAAAATCTTCATGGGAGAGGAGGGTGCTATTTTTGTTTGAATGGCATCGTTTTAAATCATGAAAGCTGAAGGAAGAGAATCAAAGTACACAGGAAAAGATGAAGTTGCGATTTTGTCTGAAATCTCAGCAAAATCTTCATGGGAGAGGGACGATTTCCCAGGTCAACTCTGATAACTCCCTCGTACCTGCGCCAAGTGTTTTTCACACGCTTCATGGAAAATATGTCTTTTTAATCTTTCCTTTGTTTTCATCGACAAAAGAAATGTTATGAAATTTGAATGACTCATTTAAGCAGCATTCAATCCACGCCACGAATTTTAGCGCAATGGCTGCAAAAGAAAAAGTTTTAATAAAAAGTTTAGTGATTAGAGCATTTTAATTTGGATTGCTATACGAAAGATTGTCGGAATTCGCCTTCATTTTTAAGAATTCCATCTCAGTTCAATGAACTCCCCTGACGATGCCTTACTTTCAATAAATTTTCCGTAGAAAATAGTCAATTGTACATTTAAAAGTCAATTAAATATTTATTAATTTGTGTTAAGGGGTCACGACCGATTATACCGGGCATGTTATTATTTAGTTATTTACGCAGTCATTTTTTGCTAAATTTTTCGAATATTGTGTACATCGACGTAACTCACACTTGTCCTCAATTTCACACTTGTCCTCAAGGTTATAGAATACATTTAAGACACCCATAAAATAAATCCACTACTGACGGAAGGGAAAAAATAATTAGTGTCGATCAGTTACTTCACATTATATCAGAAAATACATCTCAATCTATAATAGAAGCTATGTATATGCATTTTCTTTGAATCACTGAGTGAGAAAATTGACTAGTTTGAATCAAAATGGTTCTTTTAATTATTGTGTGATTTCTGTTGAAGCCAAAAATTTGGTGCATCATGAATGTTTCAAAAAAAAAATTCTCATGTATACGGTAGCACGGGCTAGTTTTTATCTACGAAGAAAATAATGTGAGACGTCATTTACTCATTCACATGGGAACTATCAATACCATATAATTATACACAGTACTCTATTGCTGGGATTCGATTGATGAACAGACGAAAATTGCCAGGTTTAAGATTAATGGGACGAACAATTTTCCAAGAGTATATTTTGCAAGGTATCCAGGAATAACCAATCCCTTTGACGGAAAATGCGTCGTTATAGATGAACACTTTTTATCATGGAAACCGGGGAAAATTTCAAAATAGAAAACTGATGGCATTCAGCGAATTAGGATTTTTGCGTCTGCTTGAAATGTGTATGAAGGAAGAGCTTCCAGACCATTGCATGAAAATCATTGCATTGGAATAAAAATTGATCAGTCAATCTCGGTTACCTTCTGAATTCCATCTGGGATTGCTAAAATTAATTTCTAATGAACGTTAAGTTTTCCGAAGAATGTTACACAGAATTACAATTCGAAGCCTTTCAGATATACAAGATTAGATTTTTGGCAAATTATTTTAGGAAATAAATTTATTTGTGAATATAATTAACCAAATTTTAATTTTGGAATTTTGGTTATATTTGTTGAAAACTGATCAAAACACAGACACTTCGGTACTACTCCAGTAGATTTTAAAAGGAGGAAACTTCTTCTTTAGAAAAATTGTCTGCCAAAAAAAATTACCGGAAGAAACACGCAATTCATTCTTCCCAAAAGTATGATTTTTAATTTCCGTCCTCAGACTGTCTAAAATGGAAGTCTAACTTTCAGAAAGTTGAATACTGTACAATATTACCCCTTGTATATTTTCTTGATTCGATTCTTAGAGTCGAGAAATTTATCTTTAAAGGTGGATGATGAATGCTGATCAAAGTTTTAAATCCCTAAAAAAAGAGGGATGGTGAAAATCAGTTTTTTTTTTAATCAGGGGCCGCTAATGTTTAACCTGAACCGAATATCAGGAAAGCCTCGAAAAGAATTTAACTTCTCAATTGTTTAGTGATAATCTTCAATTTGGTTCGGCATTTTCCTAAGACTTTGCCACAAGTGCTACAGTGGTTTCCCGCTGTCCTGTTCAACAGCTGCTTTCAGTGAGCATATTTTGATCGGAAGTTTCCATTTTCGTCAACTCGTATTCATGAAATTCCTGGCACAGTAATTTTCACTCAAGAGGTTTCAAAACCGCTCGGATATCATGATAACATGAGTATAAGACTTTTCTTTCCGCATTCACGACTGACAGACCACTCAGGAAAATTCTGAAAATTAGCACATGCGTCATTTTCTGCATTAAAACCGACCGAAGCTCGGAGTTAATCGGCAAATCTGCACGATCTTTATGATTTTTCGTGTGATGTTGAATGATAACGTCTTTGTCAGATGAATTGTCATCAGCTGAAAAGGGACAGCCATGTTGATCGTTTTAAATAAATGCATTTAATATTTTCTTCGTGATTCACGAGACTCTTGGTGAATCTCTCGCCACTTCCGCGTTACATATGCAGTAAAATCTCGTTACAACACGTTTTTGAGGAGTTCAGAAAAAGTTTGTTACACTGAATAATTCGTTGTAATGAGA